GCTGGGGTAGGAACCTCCCTGCACGCCGTCCCAGCAGAGCCGCGGGCGTGCGTAGGGGTGCGTGTGAGCAGGGCTGACCGAGCGTCCCCATCTCCGGGCTGCCAAGGCGGGGCTAGCCTCCTGGAGGGGCCGGCAAGGACCCAGGGTCCCCGTGAGGCCACCCCAGGAACTGGGGTCTTCCTTGGTGGGGCATGAGGCAGAGACCCGGTTGCTGTCTTGCAGATGGAGGGCTCGAAGGATCTGGAGAGCAACCTCCTGACACAGCCCTGGGCTTCTGTCTGGTTTGGCGAGTCTGCTTTTCTTGCCAAGGTGTACTTCAGCGATACTGGCTACATCCTGCTGATCTCTGACCTCAGCGGCGTTTGGTACGAGTGTGCAGACGCTGAGGCCGTGGGGCAAAGGTCCAAGGTGAGTGTCTGGAAAGTCCAGGGAACTCCTTTTCTTCTAACAGCAGCTGACATCCTGACATAAACTGCTCAGTGACACGATGGCTGCTGGATCTGACAAGGCTTGGGTGCAAATGCTTGGCCTGGGAAGTCCCCAGATGGCTCTGCCCAGGCACTGTCACCCTAGTTGGCCAAGGCCCCTCCTTCTGGAAGAGTGGGCCAGACTATTTGGTATGCTCAGGACAGCCAGGTGTTCACTGGGGCTGCACGCTGACGGTGGCACACTCATTTCACTTGTGGGCTGGAGGGGCAGCAGGGTTCCCAAGACCACTGTACTGAGGAGGAGCATGACACAAAGCTGCCTTCCCACCCATGACAGAGAGACTCCTGGTCATGTTCACAGCCAGGCACAGGCTCCCCAGGGGTGTCCTGTCAGCACAGCCCCCAAAACACTTGGAGCCATGCCTCATCCCCTCACCCTGGCCTGTGTGCCCAGGCTCCCATGTGCCAACCCTGTCTGCTGTGTCCCTCTATCAGAGACTGGCTGTGCTGAGTGGTTCGTGGTAGGAGGGGTGAGCATGCAGTGGCTGCCATCCCTCACCTCTGGCAGGTGATCTGAGCTGTGGCAACTCTCAGCTAGCCTGTGACACTTGTGGTGGCATGTGGAACAGGTGCACTCGTGGAAACCATTGTACCTGGACCCTCCTGAGCTGGTGGGGCAGGGGAGCCTTCCCAGCTCAGCTGGCCTGGGAGAACCTGCAGTAGGGCTGGAAACTGAGCCACAGAGATGGCTTTTTGCAGTGCTGGGACACACAGTAGTTTGACTCCTGTGCTGGAATTTTTGCTGGTTTTCTACCAGTGCAGAGTTCCCCAGGGCGTTGCTGCACCCTTAAGCTTGCCTTTCCCCAGGAGCTGAACAAGAGGCTGACAGTCCATGTGTCCTCCTTCCTGCATCACTTGAGCAACCTGATGTGCCCCCTGCTGGCTGGGCAGCCAGATGCCACAACCTCTTTCTCCTGCCACTGCACTGCTGGTGGCCTCAGCCTGTCCGTGAAGAGTGAGCTCTCAGGACTGCCTTTCTACTGGGATTTCCGCTGCTGCCCTGCTCCTGTGGAGATGGTGAGTGACGCTGCAGAGAGTCTGGGGAAGGAGTGCGGGCAAAATTAATAAAATCATAGGGCCTGGGTTGGAAGGGACCTAAAGATCATGTAATTCTACCCCCCTTGCCATGGACAGGGACACCTTCCTCTAAATCAGATTGCTCACAGCCCTATCCAGCCTGGCCTTGAACACTTCTGGGGATTAAAGATTGTCCCCTAAGTTTTGGAGGCTTTTGGGTGATCTCAGGCCATGCTGGTGGCTGTAGCGTGCCTCTTTTCCCCCCCCCGCCACTCCTCCCAAGGTTCACCATCCCCATTTCTCCTGTTGAGGCTTTGACACCTTGGTTCATGCCCTGCAGCAGGCAGGGACAGCCTAGCACAGGGTGCTGCCAGGGCAGCAGGGAGGCGTCCAGTCTGTGGTGACGCCCGGCACGGCGATGCTCTTCTCCTGTGGTGCACGCCTGAAGCGGGGCACAGAGCTGCGGGTACCCCCAAAGGCAGGACCTGCGGAGCGTCTGTCGCGATGGAGGGGCCTCGCGCGGGCTCTCCCCGGTTTTTCAGGGGTTGCTTTTGCCACGGGGCCGCCCAGCATTCTGG